TGCGCTGGCTAAATATGACCACACCACCTCCATGTATATTGGCGGATTGTCAGAGTCCATCCGGCAAATTGCGGCATTCGGAATAATTGGATTTGGAGGCGCGGGCGTCTTCTTATCGAAACCTCTCATGACGGAAATTACCAACGTATACGACAAGTGCTCTGCGATGGATTTCACAGGCGATCGCCGCATCGCCATCTGCGTCTACCGCTACACCCAGACCCGACTGACGGTAGACCACCGTCTGCGGCAGCTGGACCTGATGCACGACGCCTCTGGATTCTTCGAGTCCGGCCGCGAGCCCCCGCTCACGGTGCACCACTGGAAGTCCTGGTTCCACGCCGACATGCCGAAGCTAGCCGTGGTCTCCGAGCTATGCGGCGACAGCTGTCTCCTCCGCAAATGGCACTTCGGCGATGGCTGGATCCTAACGAACGGATTCTCCGTCATCAAGTATCACGCCGACCCGGATCAGGACGATGTCGCCATGGAGCAGACCTGGGAGGGCCACAATGGCGCCGATGACGAATCCTACCTGCACGAATTGGGTCCCCTCCGCCGCAAGGATGACCACAAACAGACCTTCCAGTTGATGGATGCCGTCCACGAGCCGAACGACCGTGTCACTCAGTGGTATGTCAAGCGCGATGAGTGGAACGGTGATCAAGTCTTGGAGCTGTCATGGCGCAAGAGATAAATATAAATTTGGTTTGCCCTGTACATGTACGGAATCGTGTACGGGCTCTTTTGGGATGGTCTGCGGGCCTCGGCGGCTTGCTGGATCAATAAGCCCACTTTCAGGCGCAAAGGTAAAGGAATGCCTTCTTTTGCATGGAGTTTCGTTTCGTTGTTTATAGATGATAGATAGCCCTTCTGTCTAACTCTAATGAGTTGAGTAATGTGATATGGAATTTTTTTTTTGGATTATCTGTTTTGTTTTAAAATTGTAGCTGAAATTGTAGCTGTTGAAGATATAGTTCCGAGAAAGGATACTTCTCGAGTACTCTGTGTGTTTAGTCTTGACAGGTGTCGATTGGCTGTCCTACTTTGGATTCGGATAATGGCCTTATCGTCGACTAATCTGCTAGGGTCTTTCAATATAGGACTGGGCACAGGTGTCTACAAAGTATACCTTTAAATATCCGTAGAGGGAAGTGATGATAAGGCCAAGAGCAGGGAAAGGAAAAAGGAACAGGTGGGTAAAGACCCGCCACTCTACCATGGCAAGCAAGGCCGCCAAAGTTCAGGAGGCCATAGCTCCCCGATAGGCATTATGCTGTACCATGGAACCGATTAATATCCCCCTTACATGTGGGTATGTATGTTTTATAGTTACATATTTCTTGGTCTTTTGCGACTAGCGGATAGATATTTACTATTCTAGATGTTCTCTACAGGAGTATTTAAAATATATATATTCCCAAGAACCGGTATTCCAACCATGATCGCTGGTAGCTTGTTAACCTACTTGAAACCTACAATTATATAGTTATAACTAATGTTGGAACCAAACTAAGCACCAAAGATGCCATAGATATATATAATACCAGCTGAGAGCTACAAATCGAGAAAGAAACAAAACACTGGTGGATGTACACTTCCAATCTGCGAACACACGGGGTGCTATCTGACCACCATCTATCGGGGAGAATAACGGCTTGTCGTACCATTTAGTATGTATGGGCAGGGTAATGGAATGCCGTGACCCAGCGAAGATCCTATGGAACCCCTGAAGATCGATCGGCGTTGAATGTCGATCAATAATACCATGTGCAATATAACGGATGTGAGACCAAGTGGAGTAAGCAGTAAGCAGTAGGCAGGAAACAGTTAGGAGCAGTGTACATAGCCCAGAGCTAATTTGATATTTCGGGAGAGTGGGAAGGACGGAGACTATTGACCGTGACCCGGCAACCTGGATCAAGTTCCGTCAAACGGAACAGATACGCAATTTTGGGTCTTTGACAGTCAGAACTAGAATACAAGATGGAGAATGTACGACATGAAGAAGTGCCGTTTCAGTCTACATTAGTATTTATCTCCAACATAGTTATTACTTGTATTACTTTCATATCGAGTCGCTTCCCAGTGGAGCAGGAGCATGGAGCATGGAGCATGGGGCATGGTGCAACGCAATGCTTCAGGGTCATGTGCATTAGCTTCTACGCCACGTGTTTGGCATGGAGTATGCAACATATTTGGGTGTTACCCAGGGATATTAGCAAGGTTTCTGCAGTTGGACTCGCGCAGCAGGCTGAGACGAGCTAGTGTTGACTTATCTGTGACTATTTACCTTGGTGTGATGAGTTAGGCACATCAGTGGGTCAATGCTCAATTCCCCCAGGAGAAATTGTGACATCAGAGTGGGAATCTGGAGGAATCTGCGACAGAAGGCAGAGAAAAATGGGCCTTTTTTTCTTTTTTTTTTGGTCATAGCGTCGGCTGTTCCTGGATTTTGTGGATATTTGTTTACCTACTCCGTATAGTACAACATAACTAGTTATATATCAGGTTATGTATACTCCGTAGGTTGTACAAAATAAGGCGTGTCTGATCTTCCAAGGTTAATAGGTTACGTTACCCCTAAGGGCCTCGGGGAAGGGAAGAATTCCACAATTCCCCCTAATTTGTCAGAAACTAACCTTGCCATAAAACATCCCCCCCAAAACTGACCTGTACAGGACATGCTCCATCCCAGGGGCCTACAGGCTGAAGGAAATGTTCTACTAATAGAAATATGGAGACTAGCGCAGACATGATACACCAAGACACGTCTCAGCCACAACCATGTGGGAATCGCCCCGTGTCCAGCCATCCAATGTACGTCGGGCTGACCCGCCTTAGTTCGATTTTGTGTTTTATTGGCGATTTGCTCAAAATCAAGGAAAAATAGTTAACACAGTTGAACTATAATAAATCAACTTGTCAGTCATTGGCTCACCAAATTCCAAAAAATGCCAGCGTACTGTTTATTCGACTTTACACACAGATCTACATGGTAAATTTACAAAGTGTATCGTAGAATATACAGGGGAGATAATCTCCGCAACTCCCCGCAGGATCCGAGTTTAGTCCAAACCTGGCAGGTGCAGTATGCAGGGTGATAGGTGTCGTCACTTTCGTCACAATTGCCAGGGATGTGTGTTAGCTTGGTGAGTGGCTGAGAACGGTAGGTGTGTGTGGGAGAGTGTATGGGAGAGTGTGAGAGGATAGACGATCATGCCAATGAAGAGGGAGTTTACCTGGGCACCATATGACTAGACCAGTCATCCTGGTTCCCGACCCCCTTTTTTTAAAAATGGTTCGTTTTGTTTTATTTTATTTTACCTCTAGGCAGATACATGCTGGGCTATGTTGAACTATTTTTTTTTTTTCCTTTACATTAATCTCTCGATGTGAAGGGTATAGTGCACAGGCTCAGGGAGGATCTCCTGGTAAGGCTCCGAACCGTGCGCAGCATGGGGGGGCCGCGCAAGTCTTTTTTTTTCCTTCCTACGGCTTCCACGGCTTCCACGGATGTTCCAAAATGCTTCTGGCGGCCTTCTGGAAGGTAAGGAGAAGGCTTGGCGGAGCCATCCGTGCCGTCTTTGGTAGTAGAGTGGGTTTCTCAGAGGCTGAAGGCAGTCGGTGCCCTCTAGTGCGCCCCCGGAAGGGAAAAGGGGCGGATTAGATGGGTGTAATTACCGATGCACACCGGATTAGCTCCACTGCAGGATCGTCAGAGGTCTAGGTAATAAGACAATAAGGGAGGATGGTGAGAATAGAAAGTCGAAAGTGAGTTTGTCCTACTAGTAAGTGTAAACAGTGTAACCTATATGTTGCGTGAGGTACTCCGTACGGAGTACAGAGTACAGAGTACAGGTTACCATTTGTGATGTGATATCGGAAACCTTCTAGAAGGTAAATCTCGATTTTGCGATGTATTCGGCTAACAATAGTCGGGACTATCGAAGTAATCTCCCAATATAAAAATAAGTATAAATCATCCCATGTGTCACACCATGAGAAACCTGCATGTCATGGTTGATCACCGAAGTCTCCCGTTTCGAATTTTGTTTGGGCTTTATTTTTTACTTATTTTTTACTTTCTTTGTGTTTAATGATATATTTTCTTTTTTAGCTTCAGGGGGTCGTAGACCAGGCGCCCCCTTTTATACTGTGTGTATGGGACTTGATTAATGCCTTCCATATATTAGTTCTCTATTAGTTCAACCCTATCCTTTATTTGGGTTTAGGTCTGGGGAATAAACGTCACCTTTTACAGGGTATATCCCGAGAGAAATTTCAGGAGACTATATCGAGTATAATAATAAGGAAATTGTTCGGATCGGCCGTTCGTATCCATTTTCGCACGGGGGGAAGGGCACGTTGTGGATCCTTCTGGTGCGGCCAGGTTTCCTTCTAGCGGGCTTCGCTGGGTCCGACTAGGGAGAACTAGCCCTTCTAGAATGGGACTTGAGTTTAGGAGAGGTCTTGGGTTTTGGGGATGGTATTATTATAGGATATTATAGGAGTATACGAAAGTGAAATATCTCTAAAGTGAGATTTGGAAACTTGGATATATAACACTTGAAATAATTAAATCAAAACTAAACCAAAAGCTAAATACAATAAGATCAAAAACTCCTAAAAAAGAATCCAAAAGAGATGTAAATAAAAGAGATGTACACAAGATGCAGACAGTGGCACCTACCACACCTAAATCACCTAAATCACCTAAAATATAAAATTGTAATAATCATATTTCCTATTTCTTCCTCCCCTCCCCCCTTTCTCATCTTCTACTTTTTAACCCTTCGCTTCCCTTTCTTCTTTTTTTTATTTATTTCCATCTTCGATCTACATCTTCTTTGTCTATTCTCTCCTCTTACCCTACCCAACCCCACTTAACCGGTCTACGCGAATTCCTTAACTTCCCTCGAACCTCTTTGATGATTTGGATTGGACTTATTTACCATATTATCTTGAAACCTCGAGCTTCCTAAAGGTGTGTTTTCACTTCATTCCTTACCTTCACCGCGATTTGCCCGTGATGACGCATCTCGCCTATTCACCTTGGCTGCCCAACCCTCTCTGTCTGCGCTGTTATCTTGGGTTTCATGGACACGGACAATTTCCCCATCTGTGCTGGTCTCGTCTTTTTCGTTTTCCTGGAACTCCCCCGCCCACCGAGGCACACAGGCAAGAAGAGCACGAGCTTACAGCACGGTGGAAATACCTCGGAATCGGAACCATCGTGATATTTCATTTCATGCTGACCATCAACTTTTTTTCCCGCTATAGAATCCTTGACAGAAGATAGTAGACCTATAGACCTATCTTACCTCCAACCTTCACCGAACGATCACGCGTTCCGCCTTTAGCCGACCACAACATTATTTTCTGAGCTTGGCTTTGTAGGCAGAAAGCCCATCGTTCGATACCTCTTACGCAACCTTAGCATTCCACTGCAGAAAAGTGGAGAATCTACCCCGTCCCATTCTTCGTTGAGAGACTGTCCAACACACTACGTGTAATACAGGTTCACCCAGGGTGAGTGTCTAATCCAAGGTCTTTCCACGTTGCGCGCTCGCGGAGTTTTTGCGGAGTCGAGCTCGTTCTACTGTATCGAAAATTGGTTCTGACTATTTTGTGACTTGCAGAGCTTGCTAGTTGTGACCCGAATCTCCCTCCCAACGACTCGCCACCTTTCATATCAACCAGTCCTTACGCGTACAGGACTTCGAATCCAATAAGTTATCGGACCACGTCGGAATACTAGTTGTGGAAGGCCTGCCGAAGGACGTCTTCGAAAGCAGTCCTTGACCGCGGTCCCTTGGCTACTTGCTGGGTCGGGTCATGGACTTCACGACAATCCTGAACAGGAAAAACTCCGCTGCTGCTGCCGCCGCCGCCGAAGCGCAGTTACAACAACAGTACTTTCAACAGAGTGCACAGTTACACACCGGAGCTTCGCCCACCATGAAGAGCGAATCAGGTGGCTCGGACAACCCTGTCAATGCATACCCTCCTCACGGCCCTCCGCCCATGCAAATGGATGGCGGACTTGCCGATTCCTTCTATTATGCACAGCCCACGGGTTCAACCCCTCGAAACATGGCTTATGCCCCCGCGGGATACGCTGGCGATCCTCAGATGCAGCAGGAACCCGTCCCACAGGGAAGAGCCGGAATTGAACCACCACCCAAGACTTTCCACTGCGCAACCTGTAACAAGGGCTTCGCACGGCGCAGTGACCTTGCTCGACATGGTATGTATATCCTCCAGATGTTTCGGAGATGCCGCCACTGACAATTTATTCAGAGCGTATTCATACCGGAGTTAGACCCCATGCTTGCGAGTGGCCAGGGTGTGGAAAACAGTTCATCCAACGCTCGGCTTTGACAGTACATTCCCGTGTACACACCGGAGAGAAGCCTCATATGTGTGAGAGATGTGGCAAGGTGCGTATATTTCCTCTTTTGGTTCGAGCTAGAGCTGACATTTATTCAGCCCTTTAGCGACTCGTCTTCGCTGGCCAGGCATCGCCGCATTCATTCTGGCAAGCGACCTTACAAATGCCCGTATGCCAACTGTCAGAAGACCTTCACGCGCCGTACGACGTTGACACGCCACCAAAACCATCACACTGGGACCATTGAAGAAGCCGCTGCTGAAACAGAGGCCCAGTTGCGGCAAAATAAGGATCGTGGACGTCCTGGCGAGGGAATGTTTTCCGAGCACGCTTCCATCCATTCTACACCGTCACCCGCGCAACACCCGTCCATGTCACCTGGTGGTGAGCTCCCACCGCTGAACATGCACCGCTCTGCCGGCGACTACTACATGGGCACCGGTCCGATCCCGCCTCATGTGCGTGGGGATTTCCCCCAAGGCAGCCCCCGGGCTTCCCCGACTGCGACCTCTCCTTCGCTGTCCAGCTACGGCAGTGCGCCCCACACCCGGCCATCTATGACCTCGCATCCCTACGCTCCGCCTCAACCTCTTGAGCCCCCGGCCAATAGTGATCACCGTCCGAATAGCGTGAACGGGAGTCCCCACATGACTAGTCTTGGGTGGGCCTCGCCGTCTCACGGTAGCATGCCATCGCCCGGATCCGCCAACGACTTCACTTACCCTGAACCCACTGGCCCCGCGTACCCGACATCGATGCCGCCGCACATGTACTTCCCCAACTCTACCATTCGCCGGCCTACCAGCACCGAGCCAGAGAACTACGAAATGAAGCCCCGGGGTGACCACACATGGTCCACGGCTGTATGATGCGATTCACAGCCCATACTTGGGATTGTCTCGCAACAGCTTTGAATTTTTCATTATTTCCTTTGTCTAATAAGTTCATTGCATAAGCCCCTTGATTCCCACGAGAGAATACATCTATGCCTCTCGATTGATTTCTTATTTCCTTTGTTTTTCATGCATTTTCTTGTTTGTATTTATATTGATGGGAAACCAGCGCACTGGAAGGAGTCGGACGGTCTGATCGTGTTTCCAAATCTGCGATTTATTGTTTTGTTTCAAGATGTCATCTCGCTTTTGCACAACACCCCCCCATTTTCTTTTGTTAAATGCTTGCGGATGACATTACCGAGACACGATCAGATGAGGAACTGCATCCATGGGATAGATAGAGGGTTGGACTAGGGATTTGCCTTGGGTATGGATGGGTTCGGGAAAGGGTCTGGGTTTGTTTTTTAAGGAGACTCCTGATTCTGGTGTCTGGTTGGGATTTAGTTATGCGTGTTCTATTTCGTTTTTCTCTTCTTATTGTTTCATACATCTAATTATTGTATTGCTTTTTTTTTCTCTCGCTTCTGACAAATACCGTCTTTCAAATGAAGTCGTTGTTCACTACCTAGGTAGTGTTTGGATGGTTGTATGATAGAACGATGATAATAGACAGTCATTGGACTCCTCTACAAGGTTGTAGTCTCCCCGGCTGTAGGGTTAATATCATGCCCAAATTGATCATAAGCTGTAAGACTAGTTTCGCCAGGTGCCAGGTGTCAGGTGTATATTTAAGACCACCTGGTGTAAAACAACGTGAAAGCCGAAGCTGGATGGTTCATTGAACTAGCATAGCACTTCGTATATTGCGTCTCACAATATCCGGCGAATTATCTACCTCTCTATAATGAGGCTTCCTCATCTTGCTGAGTATATGAAAAAGCTGCACTAAGCTCTTGGTCAGCGCTAATTGATAAGCTTTCGTCCAACCCTACTTACTGCATCCATTGAATTGTAGTTATACTGCCGGGTGGTAGGTGAAACTGCCAGAGACAATTAGGACTGGCCTGACTTTGCCAGCCATGTCTAGAAACACCAGATAGAAACACCAGGGGTATTATCCGATTGCGGATCGCCTTGTACTCAGACGCTGTTTTACCGCTGTCTTAAATCATTCATGTGCTCTTAAATTCCCCAACATTCCATAGGTTCAATATCAGAAATTATTGCCACTTTATCGCTTCTGGCTGCCATACAAGTCTTCTGGCTTGGTTTACAATACAATATGGAGCGCAGAAAGCCTGCAGGTAAGGTCTTATTCCTATAATCCGTTCAGTCCATGGGATACCAAGTTGAACGTTCGTAACAGTTACTCCCGAAAGTTATATCCGAGCAATTATCTCTCTTTCAGGGAGATTTCAGAGCACCTCTGTCTTCCCGGGAGATAATTATATCGACCTCAAAGGATGGATGGTAAAAGACCACAGGATCTTCAAATCGGCAAAATTAGAAGACGATGCGAGCCATTTCGCCTCCATTTTCGACTCCAAGTCCGAACAACCTCACGATTTAGTGGTGGTATACAGCAGCGATGGGGAAAGGAAGTGGGACCTACAACAATTTAGGCAAGAGAACCACGAAGAGTTTCATACGGATACTTCTGTTCCAGCAGAAGGCGCGGGGCAGATGGTTTTCATTCGAGGGTATATATCACCATCGTGGGTGTCGGTGCTTGGGAGCAAATACAACATTGATCCAGAATTCTTCAGGCGACACATGGATTTTCTTTCTGCAAGCATTTTCAGACATTCATTCGGTTTTCCCTCACTTGCCAGTTCTTCAAATAACATATTTAGACTTTGTGTCAGCACCCTTCTCCATCGCGACGACTTCGGCGGTCAGGATCTCCAGTCTCAGCGGTCAGATCAATCCACTGAGCTCAAAATGTACAAACTGCGACACCTTGCGTTTACTAAAGTCTGCTGTGGAGATTCTTTAGTACGCGAGTACTCTACTGTGTGCTCATCCTTCTCTGTGATCGAACAATGGATCTCAATTTGTATTACGAAAACAGATAAGGGCTGGACTGGTAGGAGACTATGCTTCATACCACGATAAAATTATTTGCTGATATGCGCTTTTAGTCATTGCCTGGATGGATCAAGGTAGACCCTTGGAACAATCTCCTCCGGGACCATGGACAAGTCACATCAAGTCCAATACTATATTGCTCCCTATCCTCCAACATCACCCCAAGATAGCATTTCGCAACACGACCAATCGTCTGAATCCAGATGCGAATGCCACCGCAAAGCTCCCGCAAAGCACGGCCATTCTTCCTTTACAATACGATTCATTGATCGCACTTGTCGATCTCGCCCGTCGCGCGCCTCGAGATCCGCTTTCAATGTGCATCCCGCTGTTTACACATACGGCATTCTCAGAAGTTCAGTTCTTGAATCTCATTGAGTCTAGGATACAAATCCAGATAAATGCCATTACCGAAGCAGTTAAAGCTGACGAGTTGGGAACCCTTCAATATTTCTACAACATCCTTAATCGTCATGCCCAGCAGCTGAAAGATAGTACTCAGGCACTCTACAAGTTGGCCGAGCGAAGTAACCAGGGACTGAACGCTGTACCACCGGGTCTCGGCACTGGCACGTATCGAGGGATCTCAGAGGCTGAGACGATTAGAAACCTTGGAGTCAATAGCTCGTGTGGTGCATTTACAATCAGGGGCCTCTTACAAGACTATGAAGAGCTCCAGGGTCGTTGTATCGACCTGTCAAAGATGTGCACCCGGGGTATAACCATGGCAATGAACAAAGCCACAATCGAGGAATCCCGCAAAGGCATTGAGCAATCTGAGCGAGTCAAGAAGTTGACTCTACTTGCAACGCTTTTCATTCCTCTTAGCTTCAGCTCTAGCCTGATGGGTATGAACATTGACCTCCTTGGACAGAACACAGTGAAGTTTTGGTGGTTTTTGGTGTTATGTATCCCGGTCACTTTGTTTGCCTACTTCTTCTTTCTTTGGGACTTGCAGTATATGAGAATGAGGTGGGCAAAATTCTGGACAAATTGTCGCGGAGTTGGGCGAGACATGGCGGCTAGAAGCAGCGAGAAGGATCCAAGTCATATTGTATGATCTTTTGATTTCAATTTTTGTAATAGCACACCATTTCATACCAATATCAGTCCATGTACTCCAAGTTTCTCTTAGTAAGGGCAAATGCAGATTTTGGGCAGGACCAGGTACACTGCCCTTCAAGCGTAGAGCCAACGTTCTTGTTGGGTGCATGGGTGTCTGAGACATAGTATGGCCCCCCACATGGGATAGATCAACATCTATATTTCTCTCTCTCTTTCCTTCTCTCTCTCTCATCCCTATCCACTTTACGCCTCACGGAATCTATTGACATTGTTTCTCCATTTGATTCTTATCGTAGATATTGCATGAGTTCTCCGTGTCCAAAGGGACCCCGGACAAAAGCTGACAAGGGGGTACCCCGCATCACAAGGTCCCAGTCCCATCTTCTCATATTGCAACTTCGCATTAGTTGTCTACAGTTATGGCTTCAATAAGCTTTGCGGCTACTGGTCGCCTTCAGGTACTACGGGATTCATCTAATGAATCTCAGGATGGTGTCGAGTAAGAGAATCCACAGCCAGGCTCAGTTTAGGACTTCTACTTATTATCGGTCTAGTATTGTTCTCGTTCCTGGCATCGGAACTACCTTACCGGAAGAGTGGCCGTTTGTTAACAAAGAATGGCTTGCCACCCTACCCGGTTCTAGCGCTGGGACACGCATCCTCGCCTATGACTATACTTCGCCATTTGGAGCCACCAAACCTTCATGGGAGTCGATGTTGATGCTAGGTCATGATCTTATCCAACATATAAGCGATGTGCGATCATCATCAGTCCTAAAAGTGGTAAGATGGATTAATTCCCTTCTGGTAAACTGTATGCTTGCTGATTTACCTCATCTAGCCCACCAACAAGCCAATTCTGGTAGTCTGCCACAGCTTAGGTGGTATTATAGTCAAGCAGGCGTTGTGTGTCGCCGATAAGCAGTTTCGTCGGTATGAATCAATCATCAACGCTATAGCTGGCGTTATCTTCCTGAGCACTCCGCATCGCTATGGCGACAAGACCACAAGTTGTATACGGTTTCGAGATGTTTTCGAAGCGACGACCAGTAGACACTTGGAAATCCCAAGCATGAACATCGAGCAAGAAGGCGCTATTCTGCTTGACCTCGCAGATAGATTCGAAGGAATCTCGTTCAGTGCCCCCATACTATCCGCGTATGAACTGAGAGAATCGAAAACCAGCTCCACTACACTGCATCACAAATACCAACAAGTCAGTATGGAGCCCTGGCTGAACTATCAACGCTAATTTTGAATCTAGTTGGTCAACCGTGAAGCTTGTTCAACTCGTGCCCAGATGGAAACAGTCATTGGCCTTAATCTTAATCATCACGATACATGCCTTTTCACCCAGAGCATCGGTGGCGAAAGTTTACCTGAGCTCAATGAGTTTCTATCTAAGACTTTACAAGACGCTGCGCGTCTTATCGCTCTTCGACTTGAGGACCGTAGGTGATGAATGCATCAGAAAGCCGCAGAATGATATTAACGGTCCCAGGTGAATATCAAGATGCAACGACGAGCACTTACTCGCCCACAATGAGCGAAATACCACTCAAAGGTGAGCTAGATAACCATATCCCACCATGTTCTTATACTTATGTCGGTTAGTTGAGCAATTGGAACTCACGGAGTCGCCATCCAACAAAGCAACAGCAGGAACATCTCTTTCGGGGTTTGAGTTGGTATCTCCTATAACACCAAAGTCTGATGTTGCAAAACCCCTTCATTTACCATGTCTCCTTCTCAACACGCATTCGGCGAATGAGGATTTTTGCGGCCGTGAAGATATCTTGGAACGTCTCGCAACCGAGCTCTTGCCTCCAAAGAACAGGGTGACAGCATCGGGCACCGCTCTAAGGCAGTTTGCACTTTGTGGATTTGGGGGTATTGGAAAGACAGAAATAGCCCGCGAGTTTGCCCGACGTCATAAACATTCTTTTGATGCGGTATTCTGGGTCGTGGCGGATGAGATAGCTAAACTTGATCACCATTACCAGTACATTTCGTTGGTACTGGGACTCGAAGAAGCATCCGAGTGTAAGAGTCAGGTTGTAAGTAGAGAGATTGTGAAGGGATGGCTCTCTAATCCTCGAAGGCACATCTCAGGGTTATATGACTTTATTCAACCGGGCGAAGCTAGCTTAGAAGCCACTTGGTTGCTTATATTCGATAACGCAGATAATCCAATCACTCTAGCAGACTACTGGCCCTAAGGTAGTAGATCGATTCTTATCACTAGCCGGGATCCATTATCCAAGACTATGTTCACGAGAAGACCCTTAGGCCTGGATTTAGGTCCGCTTTCACAGGAAGACAGCCTATCCCTCTTCAACCACCTCACTACTATCCCTAACGAGCCAGAAGTTAATACAGCGCGGCAAATTTCTAATGCGCTTAGTGGAATTCCTCTAGCCATTTCGTAGATAGCTAGTATTATCCGTCGACAAGAGCTCACGCTTTCAGAGTTTCTTAAGCTATATATGGATCACGAAGAACATGCCAGTCTTTATAAAACAAAGTTCGATACCAATTTGGTCACATATCGTCACTCTCTCTCCACTATCTAGGCATTCGGGAAGCTTAAACCTCAAAGTCAACAACTTTTAGAACTAATCTCATTTCTTGATCCGGATTCTATTAGAGAAGACCTATTAGAAGCATCAGTAGAGATTCTCTCTAAGGGCACACCGTTCAAGAGGAGTAACTACATTAAGGCTCGAACTAATCTCTTGCAATCATCTCTAGTCCAAAGAGATAAACAAAAACAGTAAATATCAGTTCATCGTATCGTACAAGATGTGATCTTAGCAACAATGGATGTTGAAAGGAAACGGTCCATATTTAATCAAGTGGTGCGAATTCTATAGGCGGACTGGCTATTAGCTATGCCCAAGCCATCAAAGGAGCCAGTGCTACCCTAGCCCAAATCCTCTAGTAATAGGCTATATATTAGAAGATAGCCTGCTTATGCAGCAATTTACCCCCATATTCTAAGTATGCATCAGCTGTGGTCCGCTATCTCAGATTCCTCAGAGGCTACCAAATTGCTTTTCGTAAAGCTACTGACAGATACAGCATGGTGAGTATACGATATTCAGGCGATTTTACTTGCTATGCAGTCTAACATTACCAAGGTATCAAAAAGAGCGTAGACAAACGAAGAAATTTAATAGCTTCTTCGAAACTACACGCAGTATCTACGAGTCCTCAACACATCCAGATCGGGATTCCCTTCTTACAGATATCCACTTCTACCTAGGAGCTATAGCCATAGATACGAGTAATTTTGATATAAGCCGCATTAACAAGGAATATTCTTTCAACCTAGTTTCCAAAATCTATAAAGAGCTAGGTACCACGGACGACAGATTATACCTCGCCTACGCAGAGCGAGGGATCTCACGAATCCAGGATAGACGGTATAAGGAAGGGGAGGCTAATCTTAAAGAAGCACTGCGCATACGTAAAGATCTTCAGAACTATATCCCGCGGTCAGGCGAGGCTAATCTGGGCTAGGCCCTGCTTTTTCAGGATAAGCGTGAAGAGTGCAATACACTTCTTCTAGATAGCCTGGCGGGTAGAGAGAAAGCCTTAGGAAAGAATGATAGAGAAGATATCCGGACGGGACTGATTCTTTATACTATTAGTAACCTCCGGGCTGTGCAATGCCAGTAGGAGGAGAGTTTCAGTTACCACCGTAGAGCATGGCACCACATACGAGGAACAGTTGGCGAGAGGGACTTTTACACTACAAATGTCGCCCATAAGATTGCCGAACACCTGATCCGCGTGGACCGAAATGAAGAGGCGATACAAGTCCTTCTATTTAAATATGTCGCTACACACTTTTCTGACTTGTCTTAGTGCTATGATCAACGACGCACTGGAAATTTGGTCAGTTGATTCGAATGCGCATAAGAATGAGATCGCTCGCACTACTTTCCTCAAGGGAAAGTTGCTGTCGGCTATGGGCAAGATGCAAAAGGCTTCTATTGCCTTTAGAGTTGCTTGTCGCTTGAGGAAGGAGATCACCAAGGAGGATCGTGATTTAAATAGCTTGACGATGATAGACTTTGACGAGATTGTTGCTTTTTGGGCTCGTTGATCAGCCCCCTTCTAGTACCAAATTGAACTGGGAACTATTCCATTAAGTCAAGGCCATACTTCTCATAATCAAAGTGTTCTAAACTAGGTATACTTTCAGCCCAACCATCATCAACCTCTCCTAGCTGCCAGTCATCTCCTACCGTAAATCTCCCTGATCTCCCCGCCAATATATCCTTGTGCATCGGCTGATACTCGACCGCTACATCTGGGTGTGGTACCCAAACAACTCTCATCCCAGCCCGTCTTCCAGCCTCTACACCAGCGATGCTATCTTCGAAGACCAAACATTCACTGGGTAGGATGGCCCTTCCCCCGGTGGTTATTCCCGAGTTCAGCGACTGCAGCGCGAGCAAATAAATGTCAGGCGCTGGCTTCCCTCGACCCTGTCGCACTCGCGGATCATCACCTAGAACCCTTCTATCCGAACCGAAGAAGCTCATCAGTCGCTTCGATTCCGGGCCCGATGTTTTCAACTCATAACTACCGGTCTTTGAGCTAGAAGCCAAAGCTAGCTGGATCGTGTCCCCAGACGAAGCATTCCGGGCACGGCTCAGGCGCGACAGAATATCCTCCGCGCCAGGCAGAGGCCTGCAATCCGGAAACCGTAGTCGCATGCCTTCACTGGATTCACGAGCGAATTGCTCGCGGGGGATAGGCAACTTGGCCCAGTTGTGGAATATATCGCCGTTTGTGGAGTCCGCGACACCCATGAGCTGGGCTTGAATTGATCGCGTCAAAGGAGGTCTTCCATACTTTTCTAGCAGCTGGTTCGTAGAGAGACCGATGATGTCCTCGGAGTTGATGAGAAGTCCGTCCATGTCGAAAATGCAGGCGCGCACTGCGGGGAAGCTGATGGTCTTTTGTTAGCTTCGGGGTATTCGTTTGTTGATGCTCGATAATTCCGCTGAATTTTGTACACTAATGTCTCAGAACACTCACCCTGTCTTAGGGAGACCCATGGGTCCGAATGAAGGTAAAGGTTGACCTTGGTTTGATGGCAGTGGGAGTGATATGAGGGATGAGAGGTGAATTGGGACTTGGGTCCTAAAGCCCAACTTGCCTTCGCGCCCACAATCCCCAAAGGGTTTAGGGCCGCAGGGGTTAAACACCTCGCACACTGGTTATGTATGTATTGATGCTTAAACGCGATATGGTTGTAACGTGTGAAAGATGAGTGCTAGTGGGCAGGTCAGGGCATCCAAAGGAACAAGAAGTCTTTTGCGCTATAATATATGTGTTAGTCTAATGCGCATCAACTGCCAGTTCTAGTGGGTTTCTTTCAGCTGCTCATAGGAATATCAGATGGAATGGTGAGAATGGTTCACCGTCAAGGTTTGACTTGGACCTAGTTAATTGGAAGCTGGTTAATTTGGACATCTCGTGTTAATATCGAGTAGGATCGACATATTCGTCCAGAAATGCTATATACTATTTCGTTGGTATAGAAGTCATATATCCCTTAGTTGAATAGTTATGGGTTTGATTGATATCGGTAAGTGCATGGCGTATAGCCAAGAGTTCATGCTGTTTATTTATTCTATATATGGATGATTCCTTGGAATTGATATAATCTACTATAAGCTAACATGATACTTGAGATTTATTGTCTACTCATGATCTAAGATGAAAAACTTGAATGATCAAGTCAACTCGAGGGCTCTACCAGTCAGTTCAGCGACATCATCGGTCACGTTGATACATCATAAAAAGCCCGTAAAATAAGATTTTGAATCAATGTCTCATATAAAAGCCAATTTAATTCGAGTTTAGCGAACTCCTCGTGTCGACCCTCGTATTCATGTGGCGGTGGGAGAACCGCGGTAGAGATGGAAAGTCTGGGGTAGTGGCAAATGAGCTGAACTTGAAACATCACTATCAATTGGTGTAGATGCCTTCGTATATCAAGTCATCTGGTGGTGTGTTCCAAGGTTTGCTCGAAAGTTGATGCTTTAGGCATTTCCGTGTCTTGGTGTGTGGTGTATATATATAGACACCGATAGAAGAGCTTTACTCCCAATCTATTTATTTAAGCAATCAACCACCCTTTTCTTTTATCACACAACTAAGATTGAAACACTGAGACTAGGAATATGCATCTCTATAAAGTTCTCGGCCTTGTTCTCGCTCGCCTCGCCCTGAGCCGTAAGTATTTCAACCACCACTTACATCAAACTCCAACCTACTAACCACATCTTCCAACAAACAGAAGCAGCAGCTTGTCCAACAGGAGGATGCGGCACTGCTGATGCCTGTGTCCTTACCGAGAAATGCACAACGGCAACCTTTGTCTCACCCTCGACAACAACTATCACAACCTGTGTCCCAACAGCCACCTGCGCGGGAGTATACTGTAAGTATTGAGAGACTAAACCGAAACATAGAAAAGTTGAACGTACCTCACACTCTAACCAATACTAGCATCTTGTGAGTTCGGCAACCCGAACAACCAATGCTGCTCGGGCTACTGTGCTGCTAGCAAATGTCGATCGACGGATGATAATTGGCCAGCTTGTAGCGAGGACAATGGGCCTTGCGTTGTCGATGAACACTGCTGCTATGGGAATCCCTGCGTAGATGGAATCTGTATCCGGACTTGATGATGGAGGATTATCATATATCAGAATGCCTGCGACAATTGTACTTGGAATCAATCATGACTATGATGTGTGTATTGAATTAAGGGCCGACAGTTTTTTTTGGGCTGCATGACTCGGGTCGGGGCTTTGAATACCTAACCTATGACTCATGTAATGCTAGTTAGTTATCCATGACTTTTTGTGACGATTATATATCACATAGCCAACACTTGCTCAGCCCGCTCAGTAAACGCCTTCATAGCAGCTCGCCACAACTCCGGCCCAACACTAATCCTTGCAACGCCCAACGCCCGAATATCCTTCACCCCCAGAAATCCCTCTCTCAAATTCATCTTCACATTAACCATCCCCCCTAGAGCATCAACCAACCTCGTAATCTCCGTACTCGAAACACCCCTCCCACTAGGCCCACCCCAAACAAAAACCGTAGTAGCACCAGCTTTCAAAAACGCTTTCCCACGCTCAATAGCCTCCTCGATCGTCCCATTCTCCGTTAGCAACACATCAGTTCTAGCATTGACCACGAAGTCCGGAACCCCGGCCGCCTTCGCCGTCTGAACAGCAACGCCAACTCGCTCCACAGCCTCATCCACCGACCGCAGCACGCCAGTCGCGTCCATATCCTCGAGATTACATCCCACAGCGCCTAGCGCGATGACTTGGTTAATAGTATCTGCCAGCTCAGAGACATCCCCGTGTCCATCTTGCACATCGACGGTCAGTGGTCTGGTAGGGTTTGTGGCGCGGACGGAGGCGGCGATTGCGGCTATCGCGGTCAGGTTTTGGGTTTTTGTTAGGGCGTTATCGTCGACGCCGATCGTTGCGGCGATCGCGTAGGACGCTGTTGCGATTGCGGGTGCTGTTGGTAATGAGGCGATTATGGAGGCTGTTGCGGCATCGTAGACATTTGTTAGGATTAGGGGATTGCCGGGTTGGTGGAGGGTGCGGAAGTGTTTGGCGATGTCGTTTTGGGTGGGCATTTTGTGTATGCTGTATAGCCTACAATATGTGGGTTCAATATGTGGGTTGGATGGAATGGATATTAGATTGCTAAATATGCTGTATTTTTGTACTACATATAATAAATACAATGGTGAAGATTGAAAAAGAAAGTCCTGAGTCATAGTCTCATAGAATACGAGGTTCGTCAAGACAATGACGAGGTTTTTCGGAGCCGATAGTTCTGCAGACTGCAGGCTCGGATCTGCGATCGGATTTGAGCAAGGCAGACAATGGGGGTGTTAATATAATATATTACTGATTATTTCTGATTATTTCTGATTATTTCCCCCTGTCTCAGACTAGACAGTTGGAGAATAAGCTGAAATGGCGCAAGGGATCCACGGTATTCCCCTCTTTGGCTTAGGAAGGAATTACAACAGGAATTACAACATACACTTGTCCAGGTTGAGTAGACCATGCAGGACAACCTGCTTACTCTCTTTGAATTGCTTACGGGGAACCCTCAATGTAACTTGATCTCATTCAGGTTTGCCACAGTTGATTTAGTTTGGGATCGACTTGAATTGACCAGTCCAACACCCAATATGGGGGGACAAAGGACTGCAAAAGGAACTAAAAGAGTTAATAAGAAAAAAATAAGAAAATAAAGGGCGTACAACATAATACAATAGTATACACCCCGGAGCCCGGTGGCTTGGTCTCCATTGCTCCATTAGGATGCATAAATGGACCTTCCATGCAGCTATATGAAACCGAAGATCCAATAAGAGAAACTGCGTCAGGGAATTTATCTACAAGATACAATATACGGAGAGATGTCCTCGACCTTTTTGATTGACAACAGCACAGCAAGGTTCTCATGGAAATCAATAACCTTGGTAAACCTCTTAAAACTGCCCTGTAATCAAAATAGGAGCCCGATAACATGTGGTACGAGGCATTGGCCCCATTTCTCTGTTAGCCTATCGAAAGGAGTAAGAGTCCGTCGCAAGTCCACTAGTCCGATGTAGGGCAAAACATTGAACGGTAACACACCTGAGGGACCTTTCCGGGTTGGATATCCGTGCCTGGGTGCATATGAACGAGGGGCAAAAGGCTGGAGCATTCCTCAGGGTATCCCAAGGGTAAAATAGTGAGTACCCGGATGATCTTCATTGGAGAGAGAAAGAGAGAGAGAGAATGGAATGTTATTTTACCTATTAACTATTTTTCTTTCAGGGTCTTTTGGGCTTTTCGTTTCAGATGTTCTTTTTATAAATCCCATGAAACCACTTAGACAGTACATTCAGATAATTTTCCTTTCATCAACAAATCCATAGTAAAAGGAACCCTTTTAACTAGTTATTCTTTAATTTATATCAAAAGTCAAACAAACCCGACCACACCCGCTTCGGTAAACAAATTTGAACTCGGGAAGCCCCGTTACTGATGGAGTCACTTTCTTTTTTTTTTCTCCTCACGGTATTTGTATTGTATTTGTATTCGAGCCTAGATTCGGTGTGGTCGACTGCGCTTAGTTTATGTTGTAGGTCTCCGATGTATATTATATAAGGTGTATATATAGTTATAGGTATGTACCTTGGGAGTGTATTCCGTACGTTACAATTATTTTCGGTTAAAAAGAAAAAAAAGAAAAAAAAAAAAAAAGAGTCGAACAAGTGAGTTTTACAAATAGACGTCGAACAAAGGGCCCTGAGACAAAGAATGGGTTTCGATACGAGGACGGTAACAAATACAACTATATATCGAAGTCAACAGGAACGAGAGAAAGTCTATGTATAAGATCGGTATGATTTAGGATTATATATAGTGAATTCTATTCAATATCTCTTAAATATCACATATTATAAGAACATTAGAAAGAAGTACTGTACTTATAAGAGTTAATACATTGAAAATTACTATAATTAATTTAAAAAAAAAAAAAAAAAAAAAAAACCTATCGGGATTCCCCTGTAATTTTACAAGGAATCGCCGTCAGCTCTCCCCACTCTCCGACGCTTCGCCTTGGCTCTCTCTCTCTCTCTCTCTCCCTCTGCCTTTCTGCCTTTCTCCTCATCTTCTGTTTCTCACACTTCTTACCATTTGCATGCTACATTTCTACATTGCTTTCTCTAAATCCATATCTCTAATGATCTTATGGCGTATGGTTTTACCTCACTCCCTCGTGCAGTTGGCCGCCTGACCTGCAGCTCTCACGCTGCCATCCGACTCTGCTCACAACCTCGAATCCCTCTTTTTTCCTCCCGACCTTGACCTCTCCTCAACTCCCATAATGTCGACCAGTCTAAATATTCCTCAGACCGGGCTGTCTCTCCACCTCGGAGATGAGTCCGGTGATCTTTCTGTCAAGCCAAATCAGATCATGAGGTTGAGTTTAGTGCAAAGCACCCTCGATGATCTGATTCAGAGCCTACGGAAGGATCAACCGGCGCGACTCCGGCTGGGAAAGCACCCTTCACTTCACTACGGGGGAAAATCTCAAATGTTCCATGCATATCCCGAAACACATCGATCTGAGATCTACCATAGCTCATCCGATAAAGAGACACTGTATTTCACAGGGCTTTTAAGTCATAGTCTGGAAGTTGAAAAGGCTAAAAATGCCACCGCGGCCACCGATCAGGCGCTGGCAGATTTGGAAGAAAAATTAAATGCACATGAGAGGGGAAAGGAGTCGAAGAAAACTCACATAATCTCACACCCAGATGAGCTAAAGGCTCTGCGAGGCAGCAAGCCAGGCTACAAAGGTCCCACCACCAAAGTCGAACTTGAGAAAGATCGTTTCCTCAAGACTGCTGCCAATCGTTCTCTCACTGCAAGTCCTACCTTGGGTGCTCCCAAGTCTCCTTCTCTCGCAATGACCCCAACATCTGCTCCGACGATGGAGAATAAAGATCGTGCGAGGCTGGAAGCCCTCAAGGTTCCCTTCATTCACCTTCTCGCCGTCCGTGCCGTATCGGCCAAATTTCTTGCTCGCCAAACCCGCACCACCGTCGAAGACTGTATCGCCCTCGGCGAGAAATTCGGCGTCGTGAACCGAATCAACCCCGAGAAGTACAATCTCAAGGACAAAGTCTACAAGGATCTTGATTTGTTTGGCTTCAATTACACCGAGGAGGACCGAAAGGAAGCCATTGAGAATTCAATTTCTGCCTTCGATCGCATGCGCATCTCTCGATCCGATAAACTGTGGCAAACACTTCTTCCCAAAGCTGAACGAGGCAAGGGAAAGTGTCTTTCGCGTTTGAATCTTCGTACTGGCCCGCCCCAGAAACCTGCCGCCCCACTCGGCAAAGTCAACGCGGAGGACTCGGGCAAGGACAACGACACCGACCGCGCCAAGGCATCCACGCCTGCTACCAAGACTACTTCGACCGCACAAAAGGCTCGTGACAAGGACCCGATCAAGCGACCCACCAAACCCAAGAGTACCAACAGCACCCTTACCGGACGGGTTACGAAGAAGACTGGTGGGAAGGCCCCAGTCAAAGTGGACAGCAAGATCAAGTCCGCCGAATTTGTCCACAGTTCGGATGAAGATGACGATACCGACATGCTTGATATTCCTCCTGCCGCCGCCACCCCCGCGCCTGCGCCCGCACCCGCACCCGCACCCAAGCAGCAATTGAAGGAACACAGGCGGACTCCATCCAATTCGAAGCCCCCCGCACCGAAGATCAAGGCACCAGCCAAGCCTCGCACCACTGAGACTACTTCAGTCTCATCTGCTCCTGTTCCCAAGGCTAAACCTGAGGCCTCGAAGCCTAAGCTTGAACCATCCAAACCAGCTACCAAGGTTACATCTTCCAAGCGTCCTCCCTCTCGACCCTCTACTTCGCCGCAGAAGCCGTCTCCACTCGGCTCCTCTCCTCCTGCCAATGTTTCTGATGCTACCAGTAGCAACCGCAGCCGAGCTGACAGTCAGAACCAATCCTCCGGTTCATCCTCATCTTCACCTCTCATCTCCCAGCTGGCCAAACCCAGCAAAGTAGGCCGTGCAACCCCTGCTGTTGCCAAACCTGCCAAAGCTACTCCACAGACCAACGGTATTACGAAGACTACCCCCGCTACCACAAACTCATTGAAGCGCAAGGCCGAGCCCGATCAATTGTCCGTGCCCCAGGCAGGACGGCCTGCTGGAAACTTGGAAGCCAAGCGACGCCGAGCGGTCAGCTCCTCTAGCGGTGGCAGCACCGGCAGTGCATCTCCACCAATGAGCTATGAGATCCTGAGACAGCAGCTGCGGGTGAAGTCTCAGAAATTCAAGAACTTTTACGCCAAGTACCGCAACTTGCATGACTCCCTTGCAGCACTCCCCAACCCGCCCCAGGTGGACCTCGACAAGCTGCAAAAGCAGCACGTTCATCTGCAGCGCATGAAGAAGGAAATCTGGGAGGAAGATCGGCAGCTTCGAGAAGGCCTTCATTCGTAATTTAATTTCGTTATTCTTTCTTTTATCCCATCTGCATAGTGATCATCTCTCACTTCAAAGAGTGCCCACTGAACCAACAGCCCGGCGTTTATGTCCATCTGTCATATTATTCTTTACCACAGCAATTCATATTCTTTATGACCCAATTTTCAAGGTTTCCATGTTTCTAGACTAGCACTTTTACTGTCGGGTAGTCAGGCCACCAATGAACACAAACAAATAAGTCGAGAATCACATTGATCTCAGAAATGAATGAAATCTCACAAAATAACGAATTACCAATAACTCAGTTTTCATTTTGTAGTCAATAAGCAATGGAACCAGTTTCCGGTTGATCTTCACTTTTTACCCCAGATCGACCAAAACGCCATCTGTAAGATGCTAGTCCCAATGAGGCATGATGGGTCCCGTTTCGCTGGGCGGTGTAACACGTGGTTGTGTTACGGTGTCACGGGATTGGTAAATTAAACATGCACGTGACTGTAACAGTAGACGTCATTTGGTCGTTCAATGGACTATTCCTAATTAAGTTTAGCCTCGAGGCCATTCGAACTTGCTGGCTTGGGAGCATCATACATAGCA